TTAGTTTTTGTCTCTTTAAATACTACTGTATGACAATCACATGTCACAGGCAAAGTTTAGGAAACTCAGTGCAGGCATAAGAACTTTAAAAAAAAAAAGACTCAATAGACACATCCTTTTTAATAACAATGTTATCAAACTAAGAAAGGACATTTCCTCTATGTTCAAGGGCTGCTCTGCTAGAGTTCCACCAAAAACTTAAAATCAATCAAATGTAAAACTGTGTTCAGTATCTAGTTTACAGGAGGGCTGAACCAATTCACCGTTAGCACTTCTTTATCAGAGATACTATCATTATTACTAACAGGAACACATTTTCTTCTTTTAAATACAGGCTACTGCAAAAAATGAATTAGTGGTAGTTCAAGGCATCATTAAACTGTATGTCCACCCAATGGCTCTGACCCCACTGTTTTTAATACTCTCTGCTCCACTGCATGGCATACGATGGAGACGTCCTCAGAACTGATTCTGAAAATGCAACAGTGTTTTGCTGCTGTAGATCTTTTTTAGGCAGCATGTGTACTGAAGCTTGACTATCCTTACATGCTGAAAAGGACAGGAAACATCACACACACATAGGGCACAGCAAAACAACTAAGTGGAAGAGGGGGACTAGTGCAACTAGTTGGGGGTACGGAAGTACTTTGCGATGCTTCCTTGAAATACTGGTTGCTATTTTATTTGAGACAGCTTGCCACTGTAAAATCAGCTATGGTCCATGGTATATGGATGGTTAGTCTAATGCAATGTAGCCAACATTATACCTGTACAACGATTAGGAGGCCACTCAACAACCATCCTAATAGTTCAGTGTGTTTTAACAGACTGTTAAAAATGTTTCAATAAATGGTCTGCTACAATCAAATCAGCAAACATCTTGATTTAAATACATGGGAGAACCTTTTTCCTCCTCCACGGTGCCATATTGGGTACAGAGAATTAGGCACTTCTCGTGATATTGGTTTCCTGAATCTCTGGTATCATGACTCAAGCAGGGTCTTCATAGCAAGGTGCTAACTATTTTGACAAACGCGTATCCTGATAAGTCAATAGAAGCCCCATCATTTTCCCTTTCTATATCTCTCCAACATACCGCATGTTTATATGCATCTACATGCAGAATATCAGCCAATATCCCTGTCACATTTTACTCTGTAAAAACATCAAATCTGGTACTAATCTGGCTCTAGTTCAAGATAATAAATACTACGTCCTAATGTCATCAAAACCTCTTCTCGGGTAAAATAATATTCCATAACATTACACTGGAGGTCCAGACTCGTGCAAAATTTGTGAGATGGCTGAGAGAACATACATCTCCTGCTCATATATACCAATTTCAACAGACAGCTCTCTGATTTTTGTATAGCCACTTGTGTTGACTTGACTTGGCAAAGTTATTCAAAACTCACCCTGGCCAGTCTGTGCTTGGGCTCATTCTTCTTGGCATAATCTAGGGAGTCGTACACCATGGCAAAGCCTGTTGTCTTGCCGCCACCAAACTGAGTCCTGAAGCCAAAGACGAAGACGACATCAGGGGTGGTCTTGTACATCTTGGCGAGCTTCTCCCTGATTTCAGTCTTTGGGACTGTGGCCTTGCCGGGATGGAGGACATCAACGACCTGCAGAGAGGAAGGGCAGGCGATAAATGTGCTGCTTCAGGACTAGAGCTTAAGCTCGAGATGTGATCAACTATGAACATGAGAGCCCTTACCATTTGCTTCCTCTGAAGCAGTCGGTTCGTCATGAACTTGCGGGTCCTGACTGTTACAGTATCGTTCTGAAGACGAAAAGAAATTATGCATTAGCAACGAGAAAACTGCTGTACTTGTAAGAGCCTCATAATAGTGAAGATAGAGGCTCACCTGTCTCACCCTACCTAAATACCACTATGTTGACATAACCGTTAAGTCCTCGACTCTCCTAACGTTTACACGGTGTGTTAACTTAGAAATAAAACAACTAATTGCTGTAAAGCCTATTTCTGTCCGTTACTGAAGTGTTCTTGTGGTACTTTAACAAACATGCTAGCCTAACGTGTGGGCCGCCATTAGTGTAATTATGCTAACGTTAGCTGCCATAGGTAGGACTGTAAGCTGCGCTACTTTGTGTTTCTTTTCTAAATTAACGTATTATCTAAGCGTGTTAATGTGGCCATGTGGTGCATAGAAAACAATTTACAACGACTGGAAAGACGAGTGTAGCCTCTGGTGTGTGCAATATGCGGATCGACCTCAGTCAGACTAGCATCCTGACGGTATCTCTGAAATTTCTCTAAGATCGTTTCACACTACAACAATATCAACATTTTATTATAAAGCAGCTCTAAAGGATCACTTGGTCTGAGAGAAATGTGTGTTGGTGAACGGATGGCCTCGATGATCGACAGATTTTACTCGCAATTTTCACCACAACACTCACCATCTTGACGCCGGCCTCGCTCAGGGACGTAGAAAAGGAGGAAGGACCAGCAGGCAACCGGATTAATGCCTGCACAAAATTTAGCGAGCATGTTACTCGTACTGCCTGATGGAAAAGATGATATCGGCGAAATTTTATTTTATTTCGGTTTCTAACAATATTTAATAAATGTGAAAACATTTTAATTACGCTACAAAGAAATAGAGCCTATTATATGATACTTTTAAAGAAAAATCCAGAACTTTCCTCACCATAAAAACATTTGGCGTTTGAGGTAAAAACTGTGGACGTTTGTTTCTGCCACTTAAAAAATTGTTTTTCATCGGAAAAAATACTTTTTTTCCATTTACAAATCAAAATTCTTGTTGCTATACAAAATATCGGGTTATTTTTAAAAAAACAAACAGGTTCTTATCTCAAACGCTTAGATCATTAGCTCAAAATTTTGACTTAATTTACATTTTAGATTCTCGGAGTTTTTAGTAATTTTCGCATTGGTTTGAGTAAGTCAGTCCAACAAAACTTGTTTTCAGTGAAGGAAACAAACTTCCAGAGTAAAATGACATAATGAACAACACTTCTGGCAGTTCTTCAGTTCACTAGACATCAATTCTCATTTTATAGTCATTAATTTTAAGAGATGGACAGAAAACACAACACAGCTAACAACATATTTTTTTTTAATACTGTAACATACTGGGCTGAACCTTTTAGGTAGGACCAAATTGCTTTTTGATGAAAACATTTCATTTCCAAACTGCGCTGGAAAAAAGGACACTGTAAGTGCAGGTTTTTGTCAGGGTAACTCCAAACACACACCTCTTTTGGAGCTTCAAGATCCATCCACTTTAACAATGCCCATCCCCCTTAAAAAAAAAATAAATAAAAAAAATAGGGAGATGACTATATAGTTTTTGGAGTAAAATTAGGGAATAGACTAAGTGTAGAGCTCAATTTCCAAACACAGTTTAAAAATATTTTTTTCTTTTTAAACCAAGTATAGGTCAGATTTGTTTCTATATGTACATACATATGTAGTTATTGAAGAGATTATGAAAGAGCAGTAACAGAGATAGGATTAAGTATTAAGCAGTTTTCCAAACATGTAAAGTGAGTGGTGCAGTGTTGTTGGTGGTAATTCAGTATCCTCCCTCTTGTTTATTATGCACTTTTGAAATAGAGCAATCAATTTACTTATGAACGTAAACACCAACAACACACCAAACACCATTTCTTTTTTTTTAAGAAAGTACGTTACATGCACTATTGTGTTAGATGGTAATAGGTGGTTGGCTAAACAACACTCAATGAATAAAAGACATAGGAAAATGTTTACAAGGGTGATCAACTTCAGCACACCTGTTTGCACGAGTGTGATTCTGCCTCTCCAAGTTGCCAAAACCACACACAAAGAAGAAAAATAAAGCCCCCAAAAAATCTTGTTTTTCCTTTGTTACAGAATTTTATTGATCTTGCAGCAACAGTGTCCACTGGCATTGGAGTCTCATTTAAAATAAACGTCATTTAAAAATCAGAACAAAAGATTACAGTAAAGTTGGTTTCAAATTTGTCTCTCAAAGCATAATATTAAGCCCTCTTTGTGAAACTGAAGTCACTGGAAAGAAATCTGCCGTGTAAATTATAATGCCGTAAAGACTTATCACGAAACATGGCCAGAATTAATAACGGCAAAAAGAAGAAAAAAAATAAAATAATCTGACAGACATCAGAGGTTCCAGTCTTACTGAGAAACAAACTTCATGTTGAGTCATTTACCGAATTCAGAGCTGCTACTTGGACAGAGTACAGTTAGCAGGTATGAATATGATTTGTGGTGTTAAAAAGAAAAAATATTATTTGAACATGAGTGTGCGGTACTCTCACATTGCCAACTTCAATATCCCATATTTACCATTGCACTTCAAAACTTCACAGCTGTTTGAGGATAGAAAAATGGCAAAGAAAATAAAAAGTATTCCTTTTGCTCAATTGCCAAGTACAATGTTACCTGTTCAATGTTGCAGTGAAAAAATAAACATCTGTTGGAAAGTACAAATTGATGACCAGGTATCTAGTTACTGCATTTCATGTAAAGTAAGGCATGGGCAGGCGTGACTCATGAGATGAACAAGGTAATCTAAAATGGGTTAAGGACACTGGGGGACAGATTTGTTGATTACAGCATCCATCAAGCCTGATGCAAACAGTTTGTTCTGGCTGCAATTCAACAGGCTTGACAGTGCCCATATCCAAACAAATTCACTCAGTACTAAGAAACCGTATTAAAAAATAAAATGCATATAAAACATCTGGACTATTTCAAGTTTTCCAAAATCTTGTATCGCACCAAAAACATCAGCAGGATATTAACCGTTTCCATGTTCTTCTAAATGTTTTTATCTGGTTTGGAAAGCTCCCAGCACATGGTGCCAAGTATCCTTCGATTTTATCAAATTATGAATGCAGAGCACCTGCCAACACAAGATCAAAGTGTAGTAAAAAAATAAAAATAAAAATAATAATAATTTTTTTGGCAGATGAGAAACATGAAAATAAAAATCACAGCGAGGCCACGGTCGTGATGAAATGAGTGGCTTTATATTGTTATACTGAAATGTAACTAAAATCAAAAGCTTGTTTGTCAGTTGCCAGGTTGAAACCTTACATAAGTGGGAAGTACAATCATTTTTTGATTAAAAACCGCTCAATCGCAGGCTAAAATTCATTTAAAAACAAAAAACAAAAACAACAAACAAACAAAAAAACAAAAAACAAACAAAACAAAACAAAACATATCTTGGAAATTGGAAACTTGTGCACCCTTGTGTTGATAATGAAGAGTGAAGTCTTGGAATAGCATGAAATCTTCACCTAATTGAAAACACAGCATCCCTTTACAAACCATCACTGGAAACTAAAGAGTCCAACTGATGATAATAATAATAATAATAATAATAATAATAGACTGTGGGGCTTTTCAAGTAGTTTCAAAACATTTTAAAAAAAAAAAAAAATCACTGAAATATCATGCTAACAAGGGTCTTCAAAACCAAAGACTGTGTGGAATTTCATATGTTTCGATTGATTCCGAGGCAAAGACTAAAAAGAAAAAATTTAAAAAATAACCACTTCCTCTCCCAATTAACGTGGATTATTTCCTGTTTTACGTCTCTGCTGGGGGACTCCCGAGAAATTGGACTAATTTGTTTGGGCATTCTGGGAGAAGCTCCCGTGTTGTGAAGTTAATTTGTACTGCAACTGGTAACCATGGAAATCTATTCAAATAAACCGAGTTTCCAGCAATGGCCAAACTGTACCTGTATGATAGACTGAATCCCCATGGTTTACACACATTACATCCAGCAGTGAGACAAAGAGCTAAAGAAGATGGCTGCCATGAGGGCTCACGACATTGGTTTCTACAAGCCAAGCCACTGGCACACGTGTTGCCAGGTTATTTCCTTTTGCTGGTGTGGTTCCAGTCGGTTAGATGTCCATTTCAAACTGAGCATCATCACCTTTAAAGCACAAAGAAAGGGGAACAGGACAAGTAGGTATTGAGATGTGTCTAGAAGAGGCAGATTAATTAATCAATATGTGGAACAGTGGATCTTTTACCAGTTGTAGGCTTCCCATCGTGGTTGTTGACGTGGTTGTTGGCTTCATTCTTCCGGTTCTCAGTCAGAACATTTAGACTGGTCACGCCAGGGATGACAGGCAGGTGAGCCGGTGGAGTCTGGGCAATGGGAGAATTGCGCCGATCCAGGAGGAACTTGCGGTCGTAGATGATCCGGGTTCCTGAAACGGGAAACATCAAGTTTCTGCTACCTTTCAAAGAGATGGTGAATATGGGTGCAGCTTAATTTGTTTAAAGGCAAAAGCCTGGTCTTCATCCACAGGGGCCAGATTCAACTATATGCAATAACATTAGTGAAGCCAACTTCCTGCACATATTTCCCCATTAGGTTCTGAGTTTCCCTGTACACACTATTGTCTAATAATTTCTGAATAAACGTACTAAAATCTGCAGTCTTGATGGCCATGGTGACATCACAGTATTTGCATTCGTGGCTGACTCAAGATGCAGTTTGACCTTTTTCCTCTTCTCCATAGCAGGCAAACACAGGTGAAACTAATAACATTAACATCAGCTTGTTCACAATAACGGCAGCACAGGTCAAGTTGATTTCATCAGCAGCACCTGTGTGACTGATCAAATCAGCTGAGCTTCTTCAAATTTTAGTTTCACTTCTTCCTCTCAGGCGTTTTCTTCCTGCTCCTAAGAAACCCCATCTATTCATTATTCTAGCCTAAAACTAAATGTGCATTTAGAGTGTAGTTGAGCAGTTTCATTTCACTGTAAACTGACTGTCCTTTTGTGGTTGTAATGCTTAATACAGACATTTCCTGTACAAACCGTTTGCTGATAATGAAAGAAAAACAGTGCTGTGTAATCCTGCGCACTGTTTTTTTTTTGGAGACCTATAATGTAAATGTTCCTCTCTTTGCCTGTATCTGTGCTAAAGTCCATAAATGCAATAAATGTTAGTCTACACAAAAAGGTCCAGATATATTTTTGTAGTGCATCTTTGAGGTATTTTTGTTCGTTTCCCCAAAAATAATTAACACAATTCAGCAGCTACATACTGAACATAGAATACAGAAACAAAGTATCCAATATTGATAATATTGATATTAGGATCAAACCACCCACTTCTAGAAATGAATGCTTTAACAGAAAGTCTCTATGTAAGTACTATTACTATGCAGAATAAAGCATATCAGTGATGCCAGTCAGGCAGGAAAATTGTGTAAAATTGTCCTTATTGGAAAGGATCCTTTAGTGCGGGCATGTCAAACTCATTTTACATTGTGGGCCTCATTACAGCCCATTTTGATCTGAAATGGACCTGTGAAACTGCCCTTTCAGCAACTGAAAACAGTTCAACTACACATTTAATCTGCATTAAATATGAGAAAAATAAACAAATGCTCATTCTCAACAATACTTCTCTGTTTCTCTGCATGGTAAAGAAATGTTGCTGTAGTAAACGAAATAAATCTGTCAGCACAACTCTTTGGGCTTACATTGTAACAAATAAACGTGGAAATTTACAGAAGGTTCTGGTAGGCCCATACTGTGCTATAATTACAAAACCAAGTTTCTGTTCATTTACAGGACTTGTTTTACTGCAGACCTATTGTCAAAACATTTAATTCATTGTTTATCTGTTACTTAATCAATTGTACGTATACACTGACAAAGTGGAGATCTTTATGTGCAGAAAAAAACCTGTATAAAACTTATTAAAATACATTTAAAAGTCCAAAATTTATGCCCTCTTTCACATTTTCCATCGCCATCCAGTGGGCTGGATTGGAGTCTTTGCTGGGCCAATTCTGGCCCCTGGGCCTTATGTTTGGCAACCCTGCTTGAGTCCTTGTAGAAATCACATATCCAGTATTATGAACTGAAGCTAAAACATATGGAAGCTTGTTTCTGCCACTGAAAAACTAAATTTCTTGCGATCCATAAGTCAAAATATCGACTTAATAACTCATTTTGAAGTTAGTAACTTAATAAGTCAAAACTTCGACTTATGCATGAAAAAAAAATCCCAGTGGTGAAAACGAGCTTCCACAGAGACACGCCTTTACCTGTAATCTAACGATCATCAGATTTCTGCTTACCACCGCTGGCAAATGTAACAAGTACACCTTTATACACAGTTTCAGGTAACGATGCACTAATGGAATCTCTGCGTTGCCAACGAGCCAATCAGGCAGCAGCTAGAGCGCACGGGGGCGGGGCTAAGCTTTGTTTTTGTTTTCATCTGGATGACAAGGCAGCCTAGGCCAACACTGCCAGGCACAGTTGAAGCTTAGCTGAGACCACAAGCACCACCTCACTCCAAAAGTCCCCTCTTTCCCTACAAATCGACGACAAAGCAGGCGAGCTGCCCTCTCACCTCCAGGAGTGGTAGAGAATAAAGTGCCTCCGGGGGTGGTACAATAGTCATGAGGTAGCTGCGTTGTGTCGTTGATCAACACCGTCTTGGTCGGGATGGCCCTGCTCTCGCTAAGCTGACGACTGGTCGACATTTTTGTTTAGCGCTGATTTGGTGACAAATCCAGCAGCTACAGAAAACTGGGGTGTTTGTTTCCCGACGGACGGTGGAAACCCGGGCCGTTCCCCACTCTCGTATGTCTTCCCTAAAGCTTTCTTGTCTCTCCTTTCGTCCTCCCAGCCGTCAGCACCGTCCCCTCCCTCAGCAAGGCAGGAAGCACGACAAGCTGCGTCCGGATGTGAGGTCAGCCGTGCGAGGCGTCACTATCGGTTAAAACCTTTTTTTATACGTTAACAGGGAAACCTGTATGTTCTTCGGAAATCATGCATGCTGGCAAGAAATGGATGGACTTGTAGGTGTTTCTGTCATGCAACATAAAAAAACAAAAACAAATGGGGGGACATGGCTGTACATGCATGTATAGTTTCCCCTTTCCTTGCTAAAAGTGAAAACATTATCTTTTATTTTATGAAAAAAGGGTTTAATAGCAGAATAGGAGGCGGTTATAATTAAAATTTATTAAATAATTATAATAATTCTTAAAACTGAGTTTGGTGTTGCTATAAAATATGTACACATCCACGTTAATTTCTATTTTTAAGGTTTCTGAAGAGACAACTATGAGAAGGATGGCAGCAAACGTGAAAGGGAAGGTTTACAAGATGGTAGTGAGACGTGCTATGATGTATGGTTTGGAGATGTTAAAATATATATATTGGACAATAGGATGTTTATGATGGAGCTGGCAGGCAAGAGGAAAAGAGGACATCAATGAATCTTGTCCTCAGAAAAGATTCATGGATGTAGGGAAGGAGGACATGCAGAGGGTTGGTGTGATAGAGGGGGGTGCGAGGGAGATGATCTCCAAAACGAGCCATTGGAAGCTTTCTCATAGATGATCACTTTGGGATCATCTACTCCGCTTGCCTCAGAATTGAAGTGTAGTCGGAAGAGGGATTTTAAATCAACCTTTACAAAACACAGATATACCTTAAAGTTTCTGCGAGAATAGAAATAGAGAATAAAAGCTAGTAAAAGCAGTGTTTCTGGGTGCATCACTTGTTGGATGGAGGGCAGCTGGCAGCTGTATCTGGTCATAATGGGTCTGCTGTGTTAACCTCCTGGAGCTCAAAGCAGTGCAGAAGGTGTAGCGTCAGTGGTGAGCTGATCAAATGAATATGATTGTAAGGTCACCTCTGAGCACTTATGTTGGCAGTTAGCTGAAAGCATTATCTACAGATCAAAACAAGTATAATGGCAAGGCACTTGGATCCAAAAAAGAAAGGGCAGAAGATGAACTGGACAGCAACAAGTGCAGGAAGCTGAAGCATGATTGACAACTGACAAGAAATAGTGGAAGGAGCTAAGAGTAGTTTGTAGTTATTCATGCAGTTTAGAGCTCCATGCCCAATCCTTTAGCTTAACTATGCACATTCTTGTATGATTCTTTTTCAAAAGAAAAGGTGATTCTCTATGTGTGCGTGTGTGTGATGCAAAGAGTTTCCATGTTTGAGAGTGTGTAATTTTGTGTTATATTGTGTTATAATTTTTGTCAACAGAGACCGGATGTCTGTAAACTAGACCAGACAGAGAACAAACTATAAATTCACAAACTATGCATCTGACGAGCCAGATCAAAATCAATGTACTGGCAAAATGCTTCTTGCACAGATCTGCAGGGCGAGGCCATCTTGTTCCAGTTTGTCACCTGTAGATGGCATTACATGGATTCTCTGTTTCCCCCTTCCAGCAGGTTTATCGGAGAGGAGGCATGAAGTGAAAGTAGGAGATATATGATCATTAGAACCTGAGGTCATCAGTTCTTCCTGCAGGAGGCAATCAGCTAAAGACATTTTTTCCATCTCCTGACAGCAGAGAGGAAGAGATGCCTTCAGACACTGTGCAGGTGTTTTCGTTCAACATCGACCTGTTTGTAAATTTATGCATGGCGAGGGATCCCCTGCTGTCTGCTTACTGGATTTGAGGCTATCACTTGCACTTTCCTCTTCAATTTTTTGTGCATATATTTGCATATTGTTATATTTGTTCAACCTGTGTTGTTCCTGCTTTGTTTGAGTTTGTTGATGGGCCTTTTTTCACATTTCACATTAATTCCACATTTAAGTGGAATTTGGAATACATATATTGAGAATCCAGATTTAGACTCTGTTATCAGGACTGTTCTGTCAGGGAACATTTTTCGTAAACCACGAAAACAGACAGCTGACATCATTTAAACTCTTAAGTAAGTAACTAAAGCTTGCAAATGAGAAGAAAACCCTTAAGTTAGCAGGACTGTTTAAATATTTTAAATGAATTTGAGATGAACCCCATTTTCTTATCTTTATTTTTTGCACAATTTGAATATATTATGTCAATTTGTGAATCATAATGTCTTATATATGTTTTTTCCTCTTAGTTTTTGTATAAACTCTCAACCTTTAGTACACATGTATCGTGGATAATGGATAATATTGTTAGCACTGATGTTCACAAATAAAGTTCTAGCTTGGTGGTTATTACTAGTAATGAAGTTCAATGGGAGAATTATTTTTTCTGTTGAAGCTAATATCTCCAATCGCCTATAAAGGCATCATTGGCTAAGTACGCATGCGCGGTGCCCTCGGTGACTGACAACGCAGCGCGAGAGCCCTGCGCAGACTCTTCCGACGCCATCCTTCACCCAAATCCAGCGTGAAACAGAAAGCCAAACGACAACATGAGCTTCTCAGTAGAAGAGAGGGGAAACCCGAACTCCCTGAGCTACCGCTTGTTTTTCAGTAAGTAGGAAATAAGCACAAGTAATAACGTTTCGTCTTTATTCTCTACTTTTAGGACTTTCTTCAAATGCCACCGGCTAGTCGCAACCTCCCACGTGTCACTTATTCATTTGTTTTGCATGTTCCCTTCAGTCATATCAGTGAAGTGTGTGTATTTACATATATCCTTGCAGAAGGAATTAATAGAATGTTTTAAAACCGATAGTAAATCTCCTCTCGAGTCCAATAACCTGGCCTAACCGGTCCTTTAGGTTTTGCCCTGTGAAATAATGATGGATCTGACATGAAGTGGCTATACCTGATCGGCGACCTACCTGTTTGTACATGGGAGAAGGAAGTTGCTTTTGGCTAACTTTCGCACGATGCTAAATTACCTGCAGGCATCATAAATCCTTGGAGATGGTGGGACTACGCCCTCATTGATTTATTACAACCCCCGCTCTTATTTATTGTGGGTCAAAGTGTATTTAGTAATTTCAGCAAGGGCTTTGACTGTCATCACATCATAATCTAGTGTTGTTGTTGTCTCACAGTTTACAGTTTTTATGGCTAGATTACTGCAGGTTTTTCATTAAAGCACGTTCATACCAGCTGCAGTAAAGAAGTAAGGGCAAAATAAGCTCCGGTTAAGTATGCACGGCAGAGTCCAGCCTTTGCAAGCAGGGGCCTCCGAGCACGATATGAATGACTTCATTCAGCTGAATGCTGTCATTGAGCAGTTTGTATTTGCCTGCCGTATTCATACAATGTTTAATCTTTGTTGCAGAAAATGCTGAAGGGAAGTACATCTCACCATTTCATGACATACCTATGTATGCTGACGAAGGCCAGGTAAGCCACCTTTACCCTGTTGCGTATGTAAATATGCGTGCATTTATAAGATCAGCCCTCAAGATAAATTTCCCCTGCAGCACAGGCAGTGATGTTCAGCTGCTTTTTTTTTTTTCTGTAGTAGTGAGCCAATAATCGATTTGCAAGGCAGTGGCCTTTACTCCATGTTCTCAGTGCTGTGTCAATACCTTTTGTGATTACTGTAGATTATTTATCTTATCTGCCAGCAGCAGTTAATTGAAGCAATACCTGAGCATGAGCTTGAATGGATGATAAAAAGTTTAGAATTGTCTCGCTTAAGTATGAATGAAAAAAAACAAACTTAAAATAACTTAAAGACAGTTCAATAGATTTCTTTCTCTCTGTTTTTCAGAACATCTTTCACATGGTTGTTGAAGTGCCAAGATGGACAAATGCAAAAATGGAGGTAAGACTGGTGCTGTGCAAAATGCATTCTTTCTGAAGGTGCAGTTCATTGACGCAAGAAGGAAAACAAACAAAAATATATATACTTTTGAGGTGTTTTCACTTACTGAGTGCAGCCCTGACATCGGTGTGTGTGAGAATGCAGATAAGATATTACGTGCTTTTTAATCTAGTACTAAGTCTGTGCAATACCTGTTGGAACCAATAGGAGAATAGTGCAGGTAATAGTCCAGCCGATATAATTTTTCCATTAGTAGACTCCTGTTCTTTGTGAGAAGGGGCAACTTCAGTTCTCCCTTGACAAGGACAGTGGGAGAAATGTTTTGTCACTCAAGTCTCGAGACTGAAGATTGCTCCATAGCGATATTTAGGGCTCATTACCAGTTATCACAATCATTTGATTGCAGTTCTTGTTACCAATGGTGGCACTATCAGTTATGAGGTGGTGATTACTTTTTCTCACAGGGCCATGTAGGTTTGGATAGCTTTGTTCCCTTAATAGATGAAATCATTCAAAAACTGCATTTTGTAATTACTCAGCTTATCATTGTCTAATAATCACATTTATTTGATGATCTGAAAAATGGAGATGTGACAAATATGCAAAAGGAGAAAAGAAATCAGGAAAGAGGTTTTTTCACTGCATCACTTGTAGTTTACTTGTTAATTTCCTGTGCTAGTCATTTCAATACAGTAACTAGAAAAATTTGCATTTCCTGCGAAAATGCTGTGTGGATGCCTTAATGCTGGAGATGTCTGCTGAAAAAAGCTGAAAAAGTTGAAGAAAAAAAACAACATTGCCCTGAGCAGGATTCGAACCTGGCCCTTCTAGTCTCAAAGAAGCTACTCATCTCACTGCCCCAAACTCTTTCTCACAAAGAAGAGGTGGAGAGACTGACAATTCTGCTGAAATGAGCAGAAGCTGCAGAGAATTGAGGTGAAAAGAGGTGAAAAGGCTGAAAATTTTGCAGAAGAGGTGAATCATAGAATTTCTGCTGAAAAGAGTAAAGAAGCAAAAAGATGCGCTGAAAAGAGAATCAGCAGAATTTCTGCTCAAAATGTTTTTTCTAAAACGGCTGAGATTTGTGCTAAAATAAAGGGAAAATGCAGAAGAGGTGAATCAGCAGAAGTTCTGCTGAAAGAGGTTTTTGCTGAAAACAGCTGAAAAAGCTGAAATTTGTGTTGAAAAGAGTTAAATAAGTTGAATTGGTAACTGA